TCACACAAGCACCACAGTGATAATACTCAGTCTCAGAAGAGTAACAAACCCAGGACCTCTGTCACACATGCACAACAGTGATAATACTCAGTCTCAGAAGAGTAACAAACCCAGGACCTCTTTCACACAAGCACCACAGTGATAATACTCAGTCTCACAAGTGTAAGAAACCCAGAACCTCTGTCACACAAGCACCACAGTGATAATTCTAACTCTCACAAGTGTAACAAACCCAGGACCTCTGTCACACAAGCACCACGGTGATAATACTCAGTCTCACAAGTTCACAAGTGTAACAGACCCAGGACCTCTGTCACACAAGCACTACAGTGATAACATTCACTCTCACAAGTGTAACAAACCCAGGACCTCAGTCACACGGGCACCACAGTGATAATACTGCAGACTGCTCGCAATTAGGCTCATTTAATCTGCTACTCCACTGCTGTCTCCCCAACATGAGAAAAAGGCAGTGACTCTTAGGGGCTCTGGAATTGCCCAGTCTATAATTTCTCTAGCTTTCATATGTGTACGTGAAGAGTATTCACGAGAATTAACTTCCTTTTGCTTGCTGTTTCTGTAATTTCCATCTTAATGCAAATTACAGACAGATATTAATATTAAGTAGTTTGACACTATTAGAAAGGACCAGCTTGAGCACTGTGCATAGTTGATGACAGCAGCCAGGACCATACCCATAATTAGAGAGGGAGAAAGTTGTGTACCTTCCACGATCAGAGTGAAGTTTTTGACCTTCACATTGCCTCCCGAGTCGGTGATCTGGATGATGTAGAGTCCTGTGTCCTGCTGGCTCAGGTTGCTGATCCAGAGGAAAGTGTCGGCGTACCGGATGCGCTCCTTGTACTGCGAGACGGTGTGTTGTCGCGGGGCCGGCCCGTCGTCCCGGGGGTTGTAGTCCGCGATCCGGAGCTGGGCCGTGCCTTTCTTCACCTTCCACGTCACGGACCCCAGGTGCTGCCCGGGGGCGCCCGCGTCCGCCGTCAGATTGACCGCCTCTCCCTCCAGGGCGTACACCGGACCAGTGTCAGCCTCCGCCCCCAGCAGCGCCATGCAGACTGCCTCCCCCACCACACAAATAAAACACTGATATCATCCAGTCGGTCAAGCAGTCAATCTTGAATCTTGAATGACAGCAGCAAGAACAATCGGCATAGAATAACATAAATTTAAAAGCACAAAGAAGCACAATAGGGAAATTATAAGCCACAGATGACAACGGTATACAGCATTTCCAGTGTATGAGTAGCCCACATGTTTTCCATATGCAGCCTGTATACAGTATATAAACAACATATAAGATCAGATCGCTTTATTGGCCTTATACAATTACTTGCATTAGGAATTTGTCTTTTCGGAGACCCTAGCTTGCTCTCCATGAGGCACACAGACAGTGAGAGAAGCCTGGGGTCAGAGCGCAGGGTCAGCCATTTATAAAGTGTCCCTGGAGCAGTGGGGGTTAAGGGCCTTGGTCGGGGGCCCAACAGAGCAGAATTCCCCTGCCAGCCGTGGGATTTGAACCAGCAGCCACAGGTGCAGATCCTTAGCCACAGTGCCACCGCTCCGCCCAAATGGATGAAAGTACATGGCTTGTAAATGTATGAACATCTCTACATACTACACTCGGGCTGGGCAGGACTTGAACCGCACGCTCGGAAAGACAACAATCGGTTGCCATCAAGATCTCACACAATATTTAGACTTTGGCGAATCTGAATGTGACCATCCAGTGGAAAAAAGTGCACTTTGCACCCAATCAGTCCTCAAACCCTGCAAACGTGATCCTTGGTTTCACAGGTTCCCCCACTGCCAGGAATGGGGGGGGGGGCACAGACAGGGGTTGGTTATCTCCTGCACATGCAGTCGGAGCACATTCTAGCCCTGCAAAAGATGCAAGGGGGCAACACAATACTAGCCCTGCTTCTAATCTGTCGATGCGAGCGTCACGAATCGCACTCGCGCGTGTAAGCGCTCCCACATTCCCACGAGCTCTTCTCTCGCCAAACGTTCACGCACCAGTCTTCTCAGCACTATTTAAACCCTCACTAGTCTTCCTTTCCATACTCACGATTGAGGTCTCCTCCCTGAGCTCCGTATTCATACGTTCCCTACCCGCAAAACTAGTAATTAGAATCCCGGCATTTCGACTCAACGCTTCCCTTCGACGACGTCTTCGCTTCCCGATTTAGAACCGACGGATTCTCGGCGCCTTCCCGGATTTTGACCCCAGCACTAGTACTCGACCACGTCTTCGCCTCCCCTCTCTACTCCTAACCTTCCTAATCTGAAGAGCCTCGCATAGGATCCCAATCCACCGAAGTCCGGTCCTCCCTGACAGAGAGTCCCAAACAAACAGACATGGACTCTTTCAATGTGTCCAATCTGGGCCCACACACGCTCGGCACCCCTGTACAGAGCTGGACATGGATGATGTGTTAGGGTGTGGATGGATTTTTAGCTCTGGTGTTTACTTTGCAGCTGAGAGAAGAGCATTCTGACAAGGTTTGAGAGCCCAAGCAGCATCTTATTAAGTCAGACTAGAATTGTCCACGGTGCATGTACTTCCTGTCATTTGACCTCTGCATTTGTAAAGAAATCAATCATTGATAACTGATCCCATGATTGACAATACTGATATTTCCAAGTTGGAATATGTTGGGGGGAGTTTTCGACACTCTTGAAATAGCAGAGAAAATCTCCCACATCTTCAGTACTTTCTGAGTCAAGTGCTGTGCGGTACCAGGATGATTAAATTCACTAAAAACACTCGAACACCTGTGCCTAACGCCCCTTTGGTGTGTTTTTAAGCAGAGAGCCTTTCCATTGACCGTAAATTTATAGAGCAGCCTAGTAAAAAACAAATCGTTTTATTTTAGTTCACAGAAATGATGATACAATTAAGCAACGTGTTTGAATCGCCACAGAAATGAAGTCAGTTTGCTCTTTGGTGAATGCAGGTGGTAAATCATTGGTTCTACAGGAAAACCACAGAACTAAGATACTGACAAGAAACTGGGTAGAATCCACAGTCAAAGAACCTCTTACCGTAACAGCAGGGGAAAGTCAAAACTTTCATTCCAAATACTAACATTAAATAGTAATTAATTTACTCTTCAACACAGGAGGACTTCCCTGCTTTACACTGAGCCTTCAGCTTGTGATCATCATCACCGTTTCCTACTGTATGTGCCAGGCCATTCTCCCACTGCCTGCTGGTTTAGACTGCACTTTGCTCACTTTCACCTTGTTCAAACAGATGGAGGAACAGATGGATGGAGAGATGGAGGGATGATGGAAAGATGGAAGGATGCAGGAATGGAGGGATGTGTGGATGAGTGGAAAGAGGGACAGCAGGACGGAGGGATGGAGGAAAGGGTGGATGGAGAAAGGGATGGAGGGACACTGGGCGATGATCATGTGTTTTCATGGTCTAACAATCAGCTGTCTGGCTGCTACAAGAAGCTCATGTATCTAAAAATTCACCTGCCGTGTGAAAGAAATTAATTTGAAAGTGCCACAAAAGCTAAGGATCTTTATCACTTCTTGAAAGCTGTAGCATTCACGTAGCGACCTCTATGATAAAAACGTTTATGATATAATTTCATTCATACAAATATCAATCTTGTGAAGTCCTTTCTACCTCTCACCAAATTAAGCAAACAAAGTGTTTTTTTTCCCCCAACAACTTTGCTTATATATAGGAATAGGACTGAGAATCCTCTACTCACAAAAACAGATCACAAGAACACGTCCGGAATTGGCCATTTTTTGCACAATCCATTTTGCGTCAGACAAGCAGTTCAAGCAGGGCAGCGTCGTTGAGAGCAAACGGAAATCTCAAATCACAAATAGCTCAGACACTCATCGCAACTGTTTCTTGCTGACATGGGCCCAGATTAAAGTCTATGCCCACCCACTAACTGCAGGTTACAAACCATGCTGTGCGACAGACAGGTTTGCTTTGAGCAGAAACGTTTATCTTCTGCTCATGAGAAACGCGGGCAAAGGCTAGGTTTGTCTTGTGTTGCTGACAAGTAGGTTGGGGTTTTGATTTGATCTGAGTCCAGTTTTGTTAGCGGGGCAGACATTTCCTCCTGACTTAGTGCAACTGTACGCCTGTGCAACTGTTTCGTACAACAGGCCCTGGGGAAAACAATAAAGGTGCATAATCCAACTGGCAAAATCACACAGTCAGCTGCGTTTTTTTTAGGTTTTTCTAGATTTTAATAAAACACAAAACCACTTTGCCCCTGTGGTTTGAGTGGACCAGGGTGTGGAGAGTAAAGTGACTCAGGACGGCCAGGCAGGACGACAGGAAACACAGTCAAAAAGCTCGATCAGAGTTTCGTTTCCTGGCGAAAACAACTTGCACAGCCGCGGTGTCGACGTTTTCAGTGTCATGATTTATTTTGTCATCTTTCAGGGCGCTTCAGTGCCCTGCTCCTCTTTCTGAAGCTTTTCTGCAAAGCGACACTTCAGTTTCCCCTGATCAAAGATGGCGCCTCCCCAGCAAAAACACGACAAAGTGGTCTGTGTGCAAGTGACCTCCACAAAGTGATTTCTGAGCTCTTTCTCCCCCATTCTATTTCCTATCTTTTGTCTGAGAAAGCAGAAGCTGAGGTCGTGATGTGGAAAAATTTTAAAAGCAAGCTGTTGAAAACAAAGACAAGATGTTGTGTGTGCATTTTATTTTTGTTACGAATCTCTGTCACAGTCTTATTCTGACCTTCTCTGGAAAAACACGTACGTACAAAACAGACTATGGGGTTGGGGGAGGGTACTGGGGACCTGCAACAGACGTATTCAATATCCAGGAAGATAATGACAAAGCCAACCAAACAAACTATTTGGGTCCTCAAGGGACATGTAGAAATTAGGAGTGTAGATGTTTAGGACTGAAACCTGGATGCACTCTACACAAAGGGTTGTGGGGGGCTGGAGCAAGCTGCTGTTGAAGCTGATTGGTCTACAACAAACCAAATGGCTCCTTTTTCATTTGTAACCATTTTTGCTCCGTTATGTTCAAGGCCAGACAGCGTTTCCCAAAATTATGCATTCTTCCACGTCTTCTTCTTTGGAGTGTCTTCCTGCTGCACTTGTTACAGCCCTGATCTAGCTCCCAGCAGAGAATGAAGACGTACCTCTGCTGTGGCCTTCACACAGCCCACCCATGTCAGTAAGAGGGAGGGCAGCTGTACTCACTGCAGGGCGCTAATGCAAACCACATCCAAAAAGAAAAACAAAGCCCTGAATCTCACACTCTCACCGTTTTGCTATTTAGGGAATACAGACATATGAGCTCCAAACATCACAGAAAACGCAAGAGAGTTTGCCTGATTTAAAAACGACAAACTAAGGCCAGAAGAACGAAATAAAAGTTTTGAAGGCATTACCTTGAACGACCTTTGTAAAAAATACAACATAGTTACACACATGCGTATGAGGACAGAAACACACACTTGTGCTGGGGAGTAACTGATCAAAAGCTGACATCTCACTCAGAAAACTGCAACTGTGATTCCTACTTTAATTAATTGTGGGGGTGGATTAAATTTTTTGTATCAAAAATAATAAACATCTTGGTGTATTTTCCCCTAAACGACCTGCACCTAAGTAACCATGTGGAGAAATCGACTACACTTGTAGTAAATTAGTACATATAATTTACATTTATATAATTTACCAAATTACATTACATGAAATTTTACATTAAACACAGGCAGTTGCATTCACAGTGTTAGCAGCTTTTCAGTGGTTAGATAGCCCAAAACTAATTACAGGAACTTAAGAATATAAGCTTACTTGTGAGTTTACCTTAAATATCAAATTAAATACCTGGTATCTCTGGATACTAAGCAGGTCAGGTCCAAGTACAATTATACATCTGAGGTTTGAGGATGTGCAGTGTGGAAATATAGTACCTGAGAACAAGGCCTGTCACCTCTTGAGAAGTTACTAACTGTAATTACACTGAATTCATGGTCAAGTAGCTTCTGATTATTGAAAGTAGAATCCCTATTACTACTGTATATAATAATAATAATAATAATAATAATGTAGCTGGAGTTTTTTTTTTACAGTCAATTGCTGCATTTTCTCTTCATCTTAAGGTTTAAATTCGAGCAAGCTTTAAATACCATCCTTGCAAACAGCTTAATTATTTTAATTTCAAACATTGCGCACGTTACACCTGCCGCTCATTACTACAGAACTCTTAACACATTGAAACCATAAACCAATCCGGACATCACCACTGAGAGTTTGCTGACCTGTTGTTCTGATCATAAACTGATGTTTCATAGGCATTATTTCAGTTGACTAATTTTCATCGTTACCTATTCAGTTGTTTTTCCTGCACACTTGAGATGCGTGCGGTATCCCAATACTGTGTGTGCAGGTTTAAAGGTTTGAGAAGTGAAATTATACTTAACAGTAGATTTAACTAAACTGGAATATGTGTGCACTTAAATTCCGGTTTATGTTTCTAATTTGGCAACAACACAGAATAATTTCTAGAAGAAGAAGGCACCAGGCGTCGACACGAAACGACTCTGCTGAACGCTCGCCGCAAAACTGATCCGAATCTTCCAACACCAGTCCATCAAAATCGCGGCCAAACGCTATTACAAAGAAATGTATTGCAAAGAATTGAATTGCCTTTAAATATCAAATATCTTTGACAAGCGGATCTACGGAAGAAGAAAACATCGAAAAGACAAAACTTTGATTATATATACTGTATGTGTCGTTTAAAAAAAAGTAGCTAAACCGAGATCCCAGACCGTGGGAAAAAACAAGAGAGAAAACACGGGGGCGTTTTTCACGAGTGTACTACTCATAATAATAATTGCACGGATTATTTATCAAGCAGTGCAATACTGATACCGCGGCCTGAGAAGTGCCTTTTGATTTCAGCTGTTTTAAATGAGTAATCAGCCACTCGGTTTATCACAAGGTGCGAACGTCTACGCCCCTCTTGTAAGTGTTACAGCGTTTTTCTCTCCGTGATGTTTAGATAGTGCTTGAATTCTCTAACGCAGCAAGCTCTATATAAATAAATATATATATATATTTGAAAGCGTAGATCAATGTGTTATTTTATTCCTAATAAAAGTAAAACGTGTTTTTCTAAACTCCGACGACAGTAACGCTCGCTCGAGGTCTTGATGTTTCTGCTGTTGAATGTCGACCTCATAGGCAGCCCCCTTTTTCTCAAAAGGAGAAAATAAACTCAGTGCTCCCGGTAAAAAAA